TTACTGCAGTATTAGAAAGTTCCATAAGTCAACGCCTTGGTGAATATTTTTTCCATCTGAAACCCAATTCCTTTAATATCCTCCATAATGATGTAATGAAACCATCGAACGTCGGCATTTTAACCTAGTTGTCTTTTAATAATTCTTAAGTTCCATGTTTTCTACAAAAACACTATAATTAATTGTTCTTATTTATTTTGTACATGACGTAAATAACATCGCGGATACCACTGACATTCAACTCTTCTGTATTAGTTTTAGTCTTTTTGTAACACACGTTTTTTAAGTGGTGACTTTAAAAGTTCATTATTTTAACAGCTTGAGGAATATTAATAATATTCTTAGGTTTAAGGCTGCGGCAATACTCTAAAATACATAAGAAAACATTGTAATACAAAATTATAGATCCTAAATTCTTTAGCTTACCTCACTTGCTGCATTTAATGGTAAAAAAGCCCACCATTATTTCGTTCTTATTCAAAATAATCTATTAAACAAGCAATCAGCTCTCTACAGCGACTATTCAGTTGTTTTGGCATTTTTAAAAACACAATCACAATACACAATAATAATTAGTTTTTAAAGCTATTAAGCTATCTTTAATATGCATTTATAAATAAATAAATTATATGAAATTCACATATTAAAAGAAACAAGCAGAATTCTTACTATAAAGTTGTAAATTATGGTCAACGCTGTAAGCCAGGGTTTCCCAACCTTTTCTTTGTTGGGGCTCCCCGGACTATAAATTAAATTTTCATGCCCCCCTTTACTTTTTTTAATAAATACAACAAAAAACGCACATTATATACTTAAAATTTTATTTTAATTCTAATAAACAAATTTTAAAAGTTTAATTAAACTAGTACATGTTTTTTATCAAAAAAATTAAATTTAACAAAGTAAATATCAATGAGACACTTGAGATTGCATATTCTGTACTATTTGGTTGATTCTAGGATCTGTTTTTGCCAGAGCTATCATCAGGTCGCTATCGACATCAAGACGATTTCGCTGTTTAGTTTTAATTAAAACTAGAGCAGAAATGCCTGTCTCACATAAGTAAGTTGAAGAAAAAGGAACTAGTATTCGTAAAGCAAGAGAGGCAACCTTCGAATTAATAGGCAATCTTTTAATCCAAAATTTCTCCAATGTCAAGAGATGGAAGTCATCTTTCATGGACGAGTCAGCCATCATATCTAGAAATTCTTCCTGAATTTCTTCTGGTAATTGGAATACATCAACAACAAATGGATTTCTTGTCATACGCCATATTGGTGACTCTGAATTGATGTCTCGATAGTATCGGCGAAATTCGTCTTTCAGCGCTTGCAAATGAGTTTTTATGTCAGCTTTCAAATTTGCGTCAAGTATATTATTTTTAATTGCTTCGAACAGCCGAGAAAGAGACATAACATTTTCAGAAGAGATTTTTTGATTCCAAAGTTGAAGCTTTGATATGAATCCTGAATATAATCATAATTGCTTATTATAGTGCCGTTACTACCCTGAAGTTTTAAGTTTAGTTCATTCAAGGCATCGAATATGTCAGCCAAATAAGCCAACCTCCATTGAAATGTGTCATCTTTGAACATTGTGAAGAAATCGTGTTTTTCTTTGAACTCGAGAAAAAGAATTACTTCTTCTTTCAATTCATAAAGGCGAGCCAACATGTTGCCTTTGGATAGCCAGCGTACTTCTGTATGGAACAGAAGAACTTTGTGATCAGAATCGAGATCCGCGAGCAGCGGTTTGAACGACTGTTCAAACCGCTGCTCTTAATGTAGTTTACAATCCTTATAGCCGAGTCCAAAGTCTGGCGTAATTTCTGTGGTAATGTTTTGGAAGCCAAAGCTTGCCGATGAATAACACAATGTGTACTAACCATTGCTGGATTTTTTTCTTTGAGCTTTTTAGCTAAGCCCGATCGTACACCTATCATTGCAGGTGGCCATCTGTGCAAAGTCCAATGAGTTTATTCCAATCCAAGTCATGTTTTTCAACAAAATTTGATATTGAATTAAATATATTCTCAGAAGTAGTACCTGCTCTCAAAGATTGGAAGTACAAAATCTCTTCTTCAATGATATCTCCGCCGATGTAACGAACATACACTATTAACTGTGCACAATTAACGATGTCGGTGGATTCATCGCAACTAATTGTAAAAAATGGCGATAATTTTACTTTGTTGATTATTTGTGACTTTATGTCTGCTGCAATGTCATCGATTCTACGCTTGACTGTATTATCCGAAAGAGAAATAGATTTCATTTTTTGCTCTGCATCTTCTCCTAAAATTATCTGCGTGGCTTTTAGGACACACGGTTTTATTAATTCTTCACCAATAGTATGAGGTTTCTTTTGCTTTGCTATCATAAAAGTTATTTCAAATGAAGCTTTGAGATGCTGCGATACTCCTTTGTGATAACTTCCCGATTTATCCAATCTCATCCGCTTGAGTGGAGTGGAGTGGAGTGGAGTGTAGGATGTTGTACCTTCAAATGTCTTTCAAGGCGATTGGGCCTCATGCTATCATTACTTAAAACTTTCATACATATCACACACTGAGGTAACTGTAACTCGTCTTTTTCTATGAAGGTAAATCCAAACTTAATATAATCTTCGGAAAACTTTCTTTTTTTTCGCTGCCATTTTGCAACCTATAACAATAAAACAGTAATAAATAAACAAGCAAAATACCTACATGTAATTACTATTTATAAATGCTCATTTATCTTAATAACGTAATGTATTTAACGTTTCAAAATTAATTCGACACGTAGGTTTAATTGTAATGTGTTAAAAAAGATCCAATGATCGATCTACGAACGCATCTTAGCTCAATCAATAATTTAGTAAATTATTGATTGAGAATGTCACAGATGCTCATGCACGTCCGGTAGGTACTCAATTATTTTCTATCTACCTATGATCTAATCCTAATTCCTAATGAGCGTTTATGCGGAATCGGTGCGGAGGGGTTGCGCGCGGATTTCATGTAGTGGCTTGTCGAAACTTATAGGTTTGTTCCAGCAAAATCTTGAACTGATTCAGGATCGTACTGAGCGTGCGCTTTACATAAAACGCGTTCCAGCAACGAGAAGTTCAGGATTATAAGTTCGAGGGGATTAGTGGTTCAGTGTTCTCGCCCAAAGAACTTTTAACTCCGAACCAATCTAGAATCGTAAATTCGATCCTCAATTTTAAACTGGATTTTCAGTTCGCACATGCGTAAATCTTGATGAACAAATGTCATTGTTTGTTATCATCTATGGTTATCATTTACATTTATCATTTTGTTGTTATTGTTATTATATTTCTGTCAGTATTAGTTATAATTTATTATTAGTCAGTATTATTAGTGTGTCGTATTAATTAGTATTAAGTAGTCCTAGTCAGTATTATTAGTGTGTCAGCTTTTTCTGTATTGTGGAAATACTTACATAGTGTTTATCTAATTTGAAAGCTTTTATTGAAAATGGAAGATTTCGATTCAGACATGGACAGTTTAAGTAGTGACGAAGAATTATTATTATTATTAGAAAATCATCAAGAAGCAGTCGTTAGGAACAAACTTCGCTAATGTCTTACTTACCACTATCCATTTTAAAAATTGTTATTTTTTTGAAAATATGTATAATAATCTAGATAAATCCTTATAGTGTTATGGGTTTAACTCTTTAACTATATAACAACTTCCCGCCAAAGATCAAACACCTGATAATAACGATTTGACAATATCATATGTCACCTATCAAATGCCAATTTTAATTTTATAAATGCGTTCCAGCAAGTGCCAAAACATGAACCAGTTCTGAATTAACTCAGAATTGACATGCGCACTCAATAGTTCAGTATCGGTTCAGAATTAGTTCTGAAAATGTTTGCTGGAACAAACCTTAGGGCGAGCGCCCACCAAAGTGGCGTGGCAGTGGCAAGTAGCAAGTAGCACGCGTCTAGCATAATGTAACCAATGAAAACGAATGATTCAGTTTACACCAAAATGACAGTAACGTCATTCATTCTAATCATTCGTTAGGATTGGTTACATTATGCTAGACGCGTGCTACTTGCTACTTGCCACTGCCACGCCACTTTGGTGGGCGCTCGCCCTAAGGGAGAGCGCCCTAAGTAGCACGCGTCTACCAATGAAAACGAATGATTCAGTTTAGACCAAAATGACAGTAACGTCATTCATTCTAATCATTCGTTAGGATTGGTTACATTATGCTAGACGCGTGCTACTTGCTACTTGCCACTGCCACGCCACTTTGGTGGGCGCTCTCCCTTATATAAACTGCGATTGACGACGTTGGTGTCGGTTTTTGAAACGGTTGTTGACATATTTAATTTCATTAATTTTATCCGTGTAAATTAAACATTACATTGTAATATTATTTGTAAATGTTGTTTGATTATTTTTTTTCTTTCTAAAATCGCAAACGTCTTCCGCCCCCCTTGACATCTCTCTATGCCCCCCTTGGGGGTCATGCCCCCTCTGGTTGGGAACTCCGGCTGTAAGCATTCTGTCTCATATCACACACCCAAATGTCATTTGAGTTTCATTTATACTCGTATCACTGGCGTACGATTGTGTAATTTATTTAATTCAAATGATTATTTTTGGATTATTAATCTTAAACAATTGTTGCATAAAATTTATAATATTTTAAATTATTATAAAAATTTTAAATATATATAAAATTTATAATATTAATAATAAGAAAGGTTTTTGTATATTTAATCAATATAATTCTAAAATTCTCAATGTAATGATGATTAAATTTTTCTTATTATAATACGATGTTGACACCTATCAAATATCGAGCAGTTCCGTATAAGTGTCGTATTTTTATCTGTGTTAGAGAAGTTTTAACTCTAAGTTGATGTTATGGAAATTTTAAATACAAGTTATGTCAATTTGTATAAATAGTGACGTAACATGATTTTAGTATGAAAAATACTATAGTGATGTGTATAATCTTATTTTGTTTCAGGACCACGACATAATCGAAAATCCCGTAATGTGCTCCTATTGTAGCGCAAAACTCGAAAAGGCTTTCAATTTCTTGGAAATGTGCATGAACAACCAAAAGCTCATTAAACAATACAAAGAAAGTTTCTGCCTAAACGGTGAAAGTGTAACTTTTGAGGAAATTACTCTGGTACGTCGGTTCCAAAAAAGAGACCCGCTAGTCAAGAAGCGCGGGATTGTTCTAAAGTGCAAGATAAAGTAATAAAAGTAACAGCGCCCGATAACCAAGATTATGATCGTCCCGATACAGTTTCTGTAAACGATATAAATTCAGAAGTCGAAGAAAAATTTGATATATCTACGTCAGACTTGAGCAATATTAAAGAAGAACCCATCAACGAACATCCGATAACTTCGAATCGATCCAGTGAATTTCCGCTTCAATCAGATACAGAAATACTGACAACTCATGTTAAGACTGAATCCGATACCAGCCCGAATGATGCGAATCCAGATAATTGTTACCTGTACCGTGCTCCCGGTAATTATAACTCGTGCGGCATTTTAGAAAATACAAATATAAGTACAGATACCGTTAAAAATGAAATTGTATTAAAGACTGAATCAACTTCACATATTTTTATCAGTGATACCATCGTTTTTGACGAAACAGGTGCTGTGGAGAGATCAGTAATTCATTCTTTGTCCAAATCTGATTATCCTTCTCAATAAACAAGTAATTGAAGCTGCGGTATATCTGGTTCTGGACATGTTAGCCTTCAAACTCTTGCTATATATCATTTAGCATCTACAGGTGTTTCAGGTCAATGGGAAATTTTCACAAATATCAGTTTTGTATGATAACTTTCACCTAAGTAATTAACAACGTTTTTATTGTTGATTATTGAATCTAATTCATTGAAATAGTCACAGAAATAATTACCTTTATACACCAGAAATTGGAGTACACTCTTGGAATCAAATCTCACGTACGAGATCATTAATTCAAAACTAAATTTATATTTTAGCCATTGCAATGGGTGATTTGTAGGTAAGCACGTTATCGTGACCTAAAAGCACTTTCTTACTTAGTAAGTGAGGCTATTTCACTTTGATTTTCTCTCCAAAGTTGTTGTGCCTTCGTTCTGTTTATTGTTTTTGCTTTTTTCTAATGACCAATATAAATCTTTCTCAGTATTTTTTAAACATATTGTAGCAATACTGACCTACCGAAATTAATGTTGGTGATCAGTATTGTCCTCTTCTTCCCTTTCTTAGGACTTTAGTGTTACAATGCATTATAACATAGGATATAACATATCCTAGTTTTCTAAATAGTCCAGACGCGATCTTTTTTGAATTCGATATTTTCCATGGAAGTCAATTTTTTTTGCTGGAATCACTTCAGGATATATCTTGTATCAATAATCACGATATGCATCAGTCTCAAACGTGCTTAATTTTTAATTTAACAAAATTTTAACTTAACTTAAACTTTTTATATAAAATGTTTGCGTGATAAAGTGAATCAGTGAGTTCAAAATCACAAAGTGCTCCAAAAATTGTATTTACTCGGCTTCCTGTCATCCGATTTTGATATATATTTTAATCCATGTCGTGGACGACAAGACAAAAATTTGTAATAAACCATTCAATATGCCATTAAATATTCGCATTTTCTTTCTATAGTGTTTTTATTTCTGAACTTGTGAATTACATAATGAAGTGAATTTTTTATTTTTAGTAATATATTAGTACACACACACACACACACACACACACACACACACACACACACACACACACACACACACATATATATAATATTATATATAATATATATATATATATATATAATATATATATATATATATATACAGTATAGGTAAAAGTTTATTGTCGGTATGGACCTTACATGAGATGGAGTGAGAAACAACTGTTTAAAAAGAGAGAGATATATTAGGTGTCCGCCTTTTATATCACCGAACATAAATGAGTGGATATGGAGTGGATATAATAAAAAGGGGAAATTCAATGTTGCCAAACTTATTGGTTTTATTTGACCTGTTGTCTTTTTCGCATTTGAACAATGCTCCAAGATAATGAAATTTGGGCGAAATGGATTTAAATGGCAGCTTATTGTTTTTTATTGGGAATATGTCACAATTTTACTTTACAATAAGTGTAATATATCATTTTGATTTATACTTCGGAAATCGTTTTATATAAATAAAATTTATTAATGTTTCGTATTTTAAAAACGATTTCCGAATTAAAAATCTAAACATCAAAATAAGCTTATTTTAAAGTGACATTATGCCTTATTTCCAATAAAAATATTAAACTGCATATAAATAAAAAAGCTTCGTACAAAACTATTTGCCAATGTGGCGTGTCGCGTGGTCAAATCACCGAATCAAGGGGTACACAGGTATTTACGAATAGAGGTGGGTCATTGACGTCGCAAAACCGATTTTCGTAAACAAGTAACTATGATTTTTTAATAGTAGTTTCAAGTAAGAAACTACCTACATAAACAAACATAATGGCTATTATCGTTTATGTGTATATTTATTGAAGTGAAGGAAACTAATAAAAGATTTTATTATAATTTGAAAACTAAACTAAACAATACAAATAGTAAATCGTACCTACGTTTACATTACACGTTATTATTAAATCACGAATCGCCTAAATTGACATTTAACAACATAAGTTTTTGTACTTTACTTCTTATTAACCGTGTTTTTCTTTTATTTAAAATTAAACCTGATTTTGTACATGTGTTCACATTTACAATACTTTATGAATATAGTGGTTAAGTTAGGAGATACATGGCGATGGTTTTTCCACCATTGTAATGGACTCTCGCTACAGGTGTACGTTTAGATGAGTCATGGACCGTGGACTTAAGTCATCTTTATCGGTTTCTTTTTCTTATACTGGTTGATTTTCAATAGTATAATCTTCTTGTTCTTTAATTATAGAAGTAACCAGCTTCTTAACTCTTTCTTTTGATTTTTTAGCGTCATTTTTATCAGAAAATCCCTGCACTTTAAATCGTGAATCCATAAACGTACATAATGACAATATGCCACTGTATTCTATCCCTCTAAATCTTTTTGCTAAAAAAGAGATTAGTAATTATCCCGTAATTAGTAATAAAAACCCGTACTACGTCGAATACTATGGATGTAAGGTTACTGTTTGCTAAAATTTTATTGCAAGATTTTTGCAGGCAGGGTACCAGAACAATCACTGAACTATCATTCAAGTATTTTTGGCCACTCATTGTACTTGTTATTTCTTTAAAAGACCGTAAAATTTGGGACAATTACGAAAAAATAATCTAGTCTTCATTATTTAGATTTGGTCTAAGTCTAAGTCTGTATTATTTAATACCGATGTGGAACGGAAATACACGCCAGTACACCGAAAATATCAAAATACAGAGAGGAGTCCGCCAGGGTTGCGTGCTGTCCCCACTACTTTTCAATGTCTACAGTGAAGCGGTATTTCAAGAAGCGCTCTCAGACTCAATAGAAGGTATATCTATCAATGGAGAAGTTTTGAATAACTTACGTTTTGCAGACGATACAGTAATAATTACGGATAACAACAATGATTTACAGAACCTAATGCAACGCCTTAATGAACACTGTCATGAGTACGGACTGAAGATAAATTTAAAGAAAACTAAATGCATGATCATGACTAAATCTGCACAAATATCCAATTGACTATTGAAGATACTGCAATTAAGAGTGTTAATAACTATAAATACTTAGGAACATGGATAACATCAGATGTAGACCAAACCAAAGAAATTAAGACACGTATTGAAATAGCACGTACATCATTTATTAAACTTAAAAAGTTTCTTTGTTGTCGGGATATAAGGTTAGAACTACGCCTGAGAATGCTTCGATGTTACGTGTTCTCTACTCTTCTTTATGGTCTGAAAGCTTGGACACCAAAACAAGTTCATCTGAATAAGTTGGCCGCCTTTGAATTTTGGTGTTACAGAAGAATCCTACGAATATCATGGATTCAAAAAATGTCAAACATTGAAGTAACTAGAAGGATAGGAAATGAGGCAGAAATAATATTAACTATTAAAAGACGAAAACTTGAGTACTTGGGACATGTGATGAGAGGGCAAAAATACGCATTATTACAACTTATGCAGGGCAAAATCCGAGAAAAGCGAAATGTGGGAAGACGAAAAATATCCTGGCTTAAGAACTTAAGGGAATGGTTTGAATGCAGTAGTGCAGACCTTTTTAGAGCGGCAGTCAACAGAGTCGGCATAGCCATGATGATTTCCAACCTTCGATAGAAGATGGAACTTAAAAAAGAAGAAGTGAAACGGATTGCCTCTTCTAACTCAGTCATTCTTTTTAACCTGTAATAGGTGAAGTTCTACCTAGTTTCCACGTCTTGGATTGGCCGTTTGGGAACTTTGTTATGTTGTAATTAATACTTTAAAAGCCTTTCTGAAGATAAGGTACTTTTTTTTAATATTTTTTGCAGAACTGTCGAAAAAAAGGACTTTTTATTTTATCTATTATCAAATCAGTTTTGACATAACATTCCTGAAGTAATGAATCTAACAGTTTTTCTTGTTGGCGGTTTATATCCAGGAATCCACCCTGCAAACTTTTTAAAAGCTGGTTCTTCACCTATAGAAAACGGATAAAACGAGTCTTTGCATAAGTTTAGTAAATCAATAAGTTTAGTCAAGAAAAAGAAACTGATAAAGATGACTTAAGTCCATTGTGTATTTTTGATGAATTAATTGGACATGACTCATCTAAACATACAACTGTATCGAGAGATATACAAGAAGTCGACATGTATTTGTCTGATAATATATTACCCACAATAAATTTCGAACGGAGATTGGAACTGTCCATTACCGTGGTGGAAAAACCATCGCCATGTATATCCTAACTTAGCCACTATATTAATAAAATATTGTAGAATTGTAACAAAATCTTTTCCTTGTGAACACATGTTTAAAATCTGGTTTAATTTTAAATAAAAGAAGAACACGGTTAACAAGAAAAGTAGAAAAACTTGTTTTTAAATGTCAATTTAGACGATTCGCGATTTAATAATAACGTGTAATGTAAATGTAAGTACGATTTAATGTAAATGTAAGTACTATTTGTATTGTTTAATTTATTTTTCAAGTTATAATAAATATATCCTTCGTTAGGTTCTTTCACTTCAATACTTATACACATAAAACGATAATAGCCAATATGTTTGTGTAGTCGCTAATTTGAATCAACTAGTTACAGTTTACGAAAAACGGTTCCGATAAAAATTTAAAAAACGGGAGGACCCACCTCTACTTTTTTAGGTATATTAGGATCGGAACCAGAGAATATGTAAAATATCTCTGATCGGAACTATTCGTCTCACTAATGGCCAATAGGTGTTAAAAATATTTGAGGAGGGGAGACCAAGGGGAAATATGATTGTTATCTTTGTCTATTCGCTGAAAATATGATTTTATATCTGCGTTAGATATCCTGTTAAATTTTACCATACCGACCATAAAATTTTTCCTACACTGTATATATATATATATATATATACGTTTTTTTTTTATGAACTAATGACGATACAATAAAATTAATAATATCAATGTCATAAATTTGTGTATCATAATTAACTGTGTGTGTGTGAATGTAAGTAATTTTTAAAATCTTAAATATAGGAATAGGTTTTAGACTCAACAGATATAACAGACTGTGATAAATTTTATAAAATCATTTATGATACAACCTCATTAAGTTTCTCCCTGATGGACGACATAACCAATGTCCGAAAGCTTGGATTAAAAATTTAAAAGAGTACACCTTTCATTTTTATTGCTGCATACCCAATATTTAATGTTTACTTTTATATATATATATATATATATATATATATATATATATATATATATATATATATTATTGTGATATTTAAAGTCTTGGTGCGCCAAGCAATTAGCTAGCTAATTAATTAATTAATTAATTAAAATTATTTTAATGATATGACTATGATTCTATCACAATTTTTTTAATTCTCTTATCTCAGGGTTAAATTCGTGCTTCAATAGCTATGCTATTACATGTGAAAGGTAAGGTCCAAAGAATACCGGAATAATAAAAAAAAAACATATAGGATCTAACGTTATATATTGAAATAAAATAATGAAATAAAATTCACACTCAAATGTTTTCAATAAACAAAATCTCATATAATGATTCTCAAAATTTTGTTCTACGTACGTGAACCTCCAAATTAATGGTACAAACAATATTAGTTGAAATCTCAAAATGCAAATATTCTAAATCTTATATATATATATATATATATATATATATATATATATATATATATATATTATTGTGATATTTAAAGTCTTGGTGCGCCAAGCAATTAGCTAGCTAATTAATTAATTAATTAATTAAAATTATTTTAATGATATGACTATGATTCTATCACAATTTTTTTAATTCTCTTATCTCAGGGTTAAATTCGTGCTTCAATATCTATGCTATTACATGTGAAAGGTAAGGTCCAAAGAATACCGGAATAATAAAAAAAAAACATATAGGATCTAACGTTATATATTGAAATAAAATAATGAAATAAAATTCACACTCAAATGTTTTCAATAAACAA